GTTAGAATATGTTTCTAAATAGAGATTAATAATCCAATTACGTAAAAGAAACAACATATTAAGAAAATAAAATAAATGAATCAGGATAGATATACAATAAATAAAATAAATTTAAAATCTATTACTTGTGTTTTAAATACAAATCAAAATATCAGTATTTGACCAACTAAAACGATAATCATTTGTTTTGGTAAATTAAGAACATAATATATAATATTGTATTACTAGTTTATAGGCGAATATACTATTTTAGGTTCATATCAAGTGTATACATATGTAGTTTTATATGTTTAATTCAATATTTTAGTAAAAATTTAATTTTCTGTTTTTAAATATAAAATTTATGATAAATAAAACTAATTTTTATGGTGAAAATATATGCTACATATTTTAATAATTTAAATATTCAATATATGTAACAAATGGCAACATGATATGCATGTGTTGTGATTGGAGTTTCGAAAAATCATAGAATTATATCATTTAAAAATTCATAATATTTATTTTAAAAAAAGTTATAGAAATAAAAATTTATATTTCTACGCAAATTTGTGTGACATTATATAGTTGTCCTTATTAAACAAGATGCATAACTTTAAACATCTAACAACTTCAAATGGAATAAATATGTATGATGTGGTTTATTTTTTGAGATGTGTAAGTAAATTAAATTGGTGGTGGTATCGATGGTATTTGACGAGAAATGTCGACGTTAAGCTTATCAAAAGAAAGTCGACCAAGATTTGATGATCGAACCAGACTCCATTCTCTAATAATTCGAAGCGATTTTGTTTGTTGGACATAAGAGTATGCAAGATGCTCAAATAATCTGGTAATCAAAAAAGTATTTAAAAGGAAAAATAGGAATTTTTGAAGGCTTTTTGACATTTAAGTCAAAATGATAAATAACATATGTCATGTTAAAACGCCGAAAAACAAACAAATAGATTGAATAGCTAAAAATGCAATATACTTTCAAAATTAAGATGATATGTTTTTTGGGTCTCTAAAGTCTAACTAGCCATATACATATAATGAAAAAGAAGTAATTGATTATAATTTTTTTTTGTTAAGTAAAAAAAGATTTGTAAGAGTCACAAGTTTATAATTTATTTTAATGATGTCCTAGAAAAGATTAAAGTAAAATGAAGAAATAATAATATAACTTGACCGTATCAAATTATACCAATTAAGAGTTATTTATTAAAAGAACTAAGGTTATGTAATTTGGTTGCGTTTTTCTGGAGTGGAAATACTTTTCTCGAAATTATTGTGGTATATATTCATAATCAAGTTATAAAATTAAAATTTCTTATTCCACAATTCATTTAGCTTATATAGTGTTATCCAGACTTGAAATTCAAATTTAGAATGATTTTAATTTATTTTCATATAAAAATTTTATTGAATAAATAATTTTAGTTTTTTTCGTCAATTTTTGTGTGTGTAGAGTTTCTATGAATATTTTACAAATATCTTTAGTTTCTTAAAAATAATGTCATCATTGTTATGCATCAACTTTTCAATAGTTATTAAGATATTATTTAATATTAAAAGTTTCATGGATATACAAATATAATTGTTATTTTACAATTGAGAGATAATATTCAATTTAAAAAAATCGATTAAACTTAAATATATACATTAGAAACTTTTTTAAAACTTGAAAAAAGAAATTATAATAAAAAGTTAAATATGTTTGATAATATTTGTGTTTAAAAAATATTAGTGTATAATATTTTTCATCATTTTTGAATTCTTAGTCAATGTATTGAAATTTGACAATGTGGGACCAATTCATTTCAAAGATTGAAATTGTGGATCCCATGTATAATGCTAACCGTTAGATTGACATTGCAACACCAAAAAGATGATCACACGGCTGGTAGAAAAGAGGTTGCTTACATGTTCAACAGGTGTTCAAACATGCCAAAATTATTTTGCTACAATACAAAATTGCAAACTACCTTATAA